GGGAGAGACAGGTGAAATTAAGATTCTGCCAAGGTGTCTGCAAAGTTTTAAGTCGTAAAACTGGAAAAGTTCATCAGCTTTTCGCCCTTCAAAAAAGTTTTCAAAATACTCTGCTCCTTAGTGGTTCCAAGAGTCCCAAATATTTCGTTGGCATTTTGATAATTTTCTTTTGTATGTTTCCCCAAAATGCTTCCATACACAAAAATCTATAATCATATGGGATTTTTATACAGGCAATTGAGCAAGTGCAGTTATCTGCGCTTTTTGACAATTTTATGACTTGGGCGTGGAAACTTGATTCACGTCTGTGGTATGAAGGTTTTTTTTACAGTGATGTGATTAATAAACAGCGCATGTCGATCAAATCTTTCAAATTTTTTAAGCATTAGGGGCATTAATTTTGAGGATTACGGGAAATGTGCACTCAACTCAAAATCAAAACAAAAAAAAAAAAAAAAACTGAATTTTCTGTTATATGCAAATTAGATTGCCTTGGGTAATAAACTATCCGGAAGTGATTGTTCATCTCTGTAAAGATACCGGTGTAAGCACAATCTGAATGACGCTGCAAACGAAGTTGTCCGACCACTCTCATCCCCCCCCCCAAAAAAGGAAAAAAATTAGAATAGAATTATGTANGGGGGGGGGGGGGGGAGTGGGGTCTCCACCCCACTCCTGCGTGGGTGGGGAAAAGGGGGAACTTGAAGCAAACAAGTCTTTACAAAAACTTACCCAAGGCTTTACCTCTAGCAGGGCCACGGATTGATTTTTCACAAGATATTTACAGATATGTCTCTGGTTAAATAGATGGCTAATCTCTGTACTGTCCCTCAAATGTCCACTGAATAATAACTGCGGCCCTGGTAGAGGGTACCCCAGGCTGTCCAGGCTGTGTAACACTAAGTACCAGACGCTATCTACACGCCCTGTCACTGGTTACTTTACAAACAGAAAACATCAATTTTTAATTAATGTATACATTGAAGTGGATGAACTTAATATTCTAACTTGCTAACACATGATGGCGGTATTAAGTTATCATCTATTAAACATCGTTCCCTTCTTTTAATCTTTCAGTACTACGGTTTATAGATTACATGCAGTGGCGGATTTAGAGGAGGGGGGGTCAGGGGGGTCCTGACCCCCCGTCGGTTTCTGAAAAATATATCACACCAATATTCCCCTTTTGAAATTAGAATTTTGACTAGCTAAATAATAGTTTTAACCCGTACCAAAGGGCACTGTTTGCTCTCCAAAGCACCACTTTTTTTTCGGGGTCGTTGAGCAGGCCCCAAACCCCACACCAAGGGGCCCCCAGATAGCAAAGAGTGGTCGCGCCAACGTCGGCCCGACGACTTTGCCTCCGTCGGGCCAACGTTGGCAGACGACGTCGGTTTTAAGTCGGCGTGTCCGGCGGCCCGCCGTCGGCCCACCGGTGGTCTGCCACCCTTTTGCCAACGTCGCACCGACGCTGGGCCGACGTCATTATGGATAAACGGCGGTCAGCCGCTGTCATGCCGACAATTTGCCAACTTCGCGCCAACGTCGGGCCAACGTCGTTATGAGCTATTACTATCGGCGGTTAGCCGCTGTTATGCCGACCTTTTGCCGACGTCGCACCAACGTCGGGCCAACNGGGGGGCGATGGTCGGCTTCGCATCCGAGGCCTGTAGTTCCTGACCCCCTTCTAATAATCCTGGATCCGCCCCTGCCCTCGCCCCTTCACCTAACCCCAGCAGCTGAAGTCGCAAAAACAACAGCACTATGAGGGCTTCGTTTTGAACTATTTTATCCACTCTTTACTGCAGTAAAATAACTAAAAAAAATAGTTACAAAAGCGAAGTAGCGGTTTGTAATATTTTTGTTTACAGTTATATTTTGTTTCCCATCCACTAATTATCACTTACCTCAATCACAACACCAATGTCACCTTTAATGAAGATGAATTAGTATCATTCTATTTATTTATTATTTTGCAGAAAGTAGACTTTAATAGTAAAAGAACCTGTCAATATTCCACACATAATTCAAATACATTTATTCTTCCTTCTTCCACGCACATACTGGGGCACATAGTTGTACTAATTTTGAAATGACCCATGCGCTACCTCCAGAATAACGTCAAATGTCATAGGGCGTATTCCCAGAGCTTTTAGATCGATCTATCCCCGCGGGGAGTCTCACTAGATTACTGTCAGATAATCCGGCTTAAATGTCCGTCCCGTCTACAACAAGCTGTAAGGGGGTAATTAACTTTCGTGCCCGCTCGGCTGACAGCTATTTAGTGTGAACCCCCAAGGAGTTAGGTCGATCTAAAAGTAGATCGATCTAATCTCTGGGAATGGGGTCATATTTCTTTACTAGTTTTTAAATTGGTTTCTTTGGCTAAATTCTCTTTTTACAAAATAGTTTGTAATATAGAGTGTCGCATTAGAAGGGTTCAGAAAGAAAATTAGTTTTGGAAACATATATTGCATTATATTTTATATATTCTTTTGAAATATTTTGCAAGTTAATTACTGACTTCAGATTTAAGCGCTCTCTTTCGGCGTAATCATTGTTTCACAGCGAGAGAAATCACAGTGCGCGATGATTGACGTTTGTTTATATAACCTGCCAATCAAGCTGTTATTACTTGACAGCAAGTATCAAAACTAACTGAATTTGATTGGCACCTTGTCAATCAAAGGATGTAGGAAGCTTGAACTAAACGTTCAACGACTAAAGTGATCCACTGTGTTATGATTGTAATTGACGTTTGTTTATATAACCTGCCAATCAAGCTGTTATTACTTGACAGCGACTATCAAAACTAATAAGTTTGATTGGCATCTTGTCAATCAAAGGATATTGGAGTTTTACATGTTCGGAGAGAAGAGTGTTGTAATTGTGTTTGACGTTTGTTTAAAAAAAAACTGTCATTCATAGTCGTGTGCGCTTGACAGCTTCCATCAAAGCTGAATTGGCCTGTTTGAATTTGATTCATACCTGTCTGAAACAATATATGTCATAACATTCTGGAGGTAGGGGGCATTTTATTTTCCTTTTTTGCGGCTCGTTAAAAAACGTCGGGTTCTTTATTTCAACCGAGAGACTGAAATTTAACAACGTGAAAGAGTCCCGGGTTCTTACACAGGTGTTTTTAATTGTACTAAAAATCTGTTGTCATTCTTTTTTCTGGATATGATGTAAAATGACTATACATGACCCTTTCTTTGGTGCTCGTACGAAATCGTTACTTCGTATACGTACGAACTGAACATTTTACTTTAATCACATTCATGTTCTTTTACACCCGATGAATATTTTTGGACCATTTTTAAAAAACGAAAAAAGTATAACTTTGCCTTTTTCTCATGAGCTACGCAGAGAAAAAAAGATTATGATGTTGGTGGCCAGGTAAAATTAAAAAGTACCAGTTTTGTTCGTTTCTTATAAAGGACCGGGACAATAAGTAACCCGTCGCTGTATATTGACAGGAGCGTACGTGAAAACTGATCTTTTTAAATAAACTACATACTTAAAACTGCCAAATTAAAATTGAAAACAATTTTATGCAATGCGTTAACAATCTTTCGAGCTTTAATCTGCGATATATTGTTAGTACTTCATAAGTATAAAAACTCCAGATTTCAATAACGTGTGAAAATTAATAAACTAATAGTGGAATAAGTCGGGCCGGTTTAATGAAAATCTTGAAATTCTTGGTTTAATTTATTGAAGTTGTTCGTTCAATATTTTATGCTGTATTTCATCGGATTGGTAAAATATTATATTTTCATTATATATAAAATGGTTATTGCTACGCCGTATTAGAATTAATATTTGATCGAATATTTACTTGAAAACATACTTTTTATCTAATTTATTTTATTCTTTTTTTAAGTAAAATCAAAAGTAATTCAGCATTAACAACAACATATTTGTTTTGCCTCATTAAGCATATACTACGATTTTTTTTATCCGAAGGCGCACATTATAATGTTATAGATTTCCTGGCATACTTTTTTCATTTAATATTCTACGTGCAATATATCAATTTTCCATACCGCAAGTGACACTAAAAATGAAGCTTTTTTTCTCTCTTTAATTTTTTTCAACTAATCTATCATTGGGAAACATCTTTAACTTGTTTCTATAACCCAGATTAGGTAAAAAAATCTTCCGTAGTTTTGAGTTCAGGTCGAGAAAAGTCGGTTTGTCAGCAGATAAGTCAAAGGGGTTCAAACAGAGGAACCGGGGGCGGTAAGCGAATCTTGACATTCTACTCTTTTAGTAGGCCTACGAGTGCACACAAAAGAAGTGCACTGAAAAAATTGTGTACGAGGCAACTTCATATCTTGGTTTAAGGGGATAAATCTCACCAATACTCTCTTGATATTAGAATTTTGACTAGCTCAATCATAGTTCAATCATAGACCGTAGCAAATGGAGATTTTTATCCCCCCCTTCGGTTTCTGAAAAATAAATCTCACCAATACTCTAGCTCTTGATATTAGAATTTTGACTAGCTCAATCATAGTTCTAGACCGTAGCAAATGGCACCGTTGTCCCTCTTTTCGGTGCCATTTTTTTCAAACCCAATTGATACTTCATAGATCATTCTTTATTATTGTTTAAACAATATACTAAATATTGTAACGAGCATGAGAACCTGCGTTATTAACATCTAGCACATTAGAAAATAACTGAGGCTCAGCGACGCGTTGCGTGACCTTAGTTACGAACAATTAAAAACAGCGCAGGCCTATCCCAGCCAAAATAATGGCTGTTTGGTTATTCGGGCGCAAGCATGCTTCAAGTTGCTAATCCTCATGTTTTTAATCGCCCAAAAATAACACTGCCTTTCTAGATCTTTCTATAGTCCGGCTGGTCACTTATTTGCTCTTGATAGTGATAGCTAGGAATCGAGCGTGAGGTTTAAATTTCTGTTCGTCAGATGGCAGCACTTTACAGTCTACTTTGGACTTTGACCACAAGAAAGGCCACATCTGAAATAGTTTCGCAAATGCGTTTTAAAAATAACAAATAGAGATATCTAGATACGGCACTTTTCTTGGTTATTAGAATATTTTGATAAATATGTGCCTTAAAGCTGTCAAATCCATGCCTGGTTTATGAACAAATCAACCTTGACATTGTAAGCCAGGTTCATCTTACCCAGGGAAGAGCAATGGCTGCGTTACGAAAGTCGTGTAGTGCTCTGCTAAATTCTCTACCAAAACGCTATGGTAGAGTAGCAAAATCCACCGCTGCTCAATTTCAGGATGAAAGGTAATGTAGGGAGTATTACTGCTTAGAAAATACTACTGTTTACCTAGACAAAACCTGTTAAATCAACTCTAGTAATCCCCCACACCTTCGAGTTACGTTAAAGTTTAAGTGCTTTAGTAACGTCTACCAGTGTACTTTGTCCGGTGAAGCTATAGCGTTGACTCTTTTTGTAAAACCAAGGTACTTCTGCTCCTTCCATAAACTATATTTGCAATTAATTTTTGTGAATTTTCGACGTTCACCCCTTAAATTACCCCAGTTCGCATTTTATTTGACGTGTCTTGTAAAAACAGAAAAATCAAAATGGAAATTTTAAAATTAATTAATTTAATAGAACAGACGTTGACTTAAGAAATAACACCGATAAAAATTTTAAGTTAAGGGGGCATACTGCGTAAGCTCTGGTCAGAATATATATGACTCAGTTATATACTAGTACGCATTTATATTAAGTGCTGCTCCTGTTAGAAAAGAAATAGGGGAGGTGAACAACATGATGGAGATAGGAACAAGGAGAATATTTGCAGAAGAGCATGACATGTTCCGTCAGACAGCGAGGAGGTTCTTTCAGGAAGAAATATTACCTTACCATTCAGAGTAAGTGGGTGCAGTCTAATTAGACTAGTTGGAAGTAATGTAATTGAATGCCCTTGTTTTTCATCTAAATGTTCTTGTTCCCAGATATATATCATCTTTGCTTAAACTGTATAGTAGAACTTCACAACAGGTGGAGACGTTCTGTTGAACTGAAGTAGGATTGTGAGTTATCGAATCTGAACACACCTTGTGCATAGTACCTTTTTCTGTTCAAGCTTAAACTGGAAATTTCTTTGCATTGGTAGAGCTAATATTAGAACCATCATGTTTTAAAATATCACTGAGGTTACTCTAACAGCTTACCTCTGTTTTTGTTTTAGGTGGGAGAAGAACAAAGAAATAAGCAGAGAGGTAGGAGATTTTTTGCGTAATTTTTATGATCAGTAAATGTAGTAGTAAGTCGTTAAGAAAACAAAATGATTTAAGTTTCTTAGTTAACTAATTATAGCTAATCATGAATAAATTATTATTGTTTTATCTAAAAATTGCAGTTCATTTAAGTCAGAAATTAGTCTTATGTATTTTCTAAAAATACCAGGAAGGATTTTAACTTAAACTAATAATTGTGTTTATTTCTGTGCATTTATTTAAAAATACTTGGGAATCAGTCATTTAAGTTGTGTTTGTTATTTATTAAGGCTTGGGAGTCAGCTGGCACCACAGGACTTCTAGGAGTGAATACTGCAGAGGAACATGGAGGCATAGGAGGAGACTTCCTGTCAGCAGCCATTGTATGGGAGGAACAGTAAGTTGAGGCTTTGAAGTGAAGAGTGATTGTTCACTTAATATGTCAACAATGAAGTTTAAACTGCATGGGAAATTACTTTGTACTCTTATTGATGGGAAATTCCCAATTTAAGTATGTCTGCTGCATTTGATATGACAGTGATGGAATCTGTGGAGGGTGTTGATGTTTTCAATGACTGATGATCTCTCCACATTGCCTGAGCTTGCTAGCGGCTTTACTGGGCATGTGTCTTGTTTTTGATACAGGGTTATCACAATGGTTATGACTCCAGTAAATGTTAATAATGTGGATAACAGTTTGTAAAATGCTACTAGACCAAATTTAGATAGTCAGCATTCAGGTTTAGCAGCTTAAACAATCTTTAAAACCTAGATATCTGCAGTGCATTACAGCTTATTAATGTTGCTTAGAAGTTTACGGGGGGGAGGGGGGGGGGGACCAGTTGACAGGAGCAGTTATTAAGTATACTAAATAGCATCTCATTACTCATTGTGATTCGTTCTTATTCCCTTGATGCGTCTTACCCAGTTTGTGGTACATGCTTAGGAGCTGATATCACCACTCTGATTCTCAGTTGTTCTCATCATATGATATAAAGCTGATGTCATTTCACCTCAGGTCTTATGTGAACTGCTCAGGACCAGGGTTCTCCCTGCACTCAGACATCGTGATGCCTTACATCACTAGGTATGGCACCAAGGCCCAGATTGACAAGTTCATTCCCATGCTCACTGCAGGGAAGTGGATTGGGGCCATCGCCATGACGGAGCCAGGAGCTGGAAGGTAAGATCAGGATAAGGTCAAAGGGCAAGACGTTGGGATCATAATAAGGTCAAAGGACAGGATTTTAAGTCCAGCTGATGGGGTTATGGGATGGATAAACCTTGATTCAGTGAGGTGTGTGTGCTGGCCACAATAAGCAATGAAGTACTGCACTTGCCTGTATTGTTGAACCCTGCTCAGTAAAATTTTGTAAATTTGTTCATTTACTGCACACTGTTTCTGCTTTGGAGTAGACCCTTAGACCCTGATGTCTTGACATGATATTTGGCTGAAATGACTTGGTACAGACTGTGTTATTATGATTTCAATTAAATTGACCCTCTTCAGCATTGACCTTGACAGGCCATTAAACTGACCTCTTTCTCTCAGTGACTTACAGGGTGTTAAGACCAATGCCAAGAGGGACGGAGACGATTGGATCCTTAATGGCAGTAAAGTGTTCATCACCAATGGTTATCTGGCTGATGTTGTCATTGTTGTTGCCGTCACCAACCCAGAGGCCAAATCCAAGGCCCACGGCATCAGTCTGTTCCTGGTGGAGGCAGGAATGCCAGGGTTCAAGAAGGGAAAGAAATTGGAGAAGATGGGATATAAGGCCCAGGTATAATGAAATGCATTATTTGCTTGGTGATCTCCTGTATTATTTTGTGTCCTTTTCTCTCAAGTTTAAAGGTTTGGCATATGAAAGTGTATATATTTCTTTCAGAATGTGGTTATCGAATAAGTGACTGTATTTTAGATATTTCGGTATGCTCAGGTTTGTCTTTCAGGCACTTAGGCTTATTTGTTCTAGAGCCAATGAGATCCCAAGTCAAGACAAAAGTCATTGTAAACATAATTTTAAGCTGCCAAACATTTCTACTGAACTTTGTGCAACAGTGTCGTGTGTGTGTGTGTGTGTGTGTGTGTGTGTGTGTGTGTGTGTGTGTGTTACACTTACCCTTGCCCTGTCCCCATTTTCCCACAATATATCAACTTACATTGTAATGCAAATGTGTCAAATATATTTTAGGACACAGCAGAACTGTTCTTTGAAGATGTCCGCATTCCTAAGGAGAACCTTCTGGGAGAAGCCAACAAGGGTTTCTATTACCTGATGCAGGAGTTGCCCCAGGAGCGTCTGTTGATAGCAGACATGGGGATTGCCCTGTGTGAGTGGATGTTTGAGGAGACCAGGGCCTATGTCAGGCAGAGGAAGGCATTTGGAAAGACAATTTCAAGCTTACAGGTATACAGGGAGGATTATTATTATTATTATTATTATTATATAATATTGAATATATTTAATATCATTTCCGCATTTTTGGAGAGAAAGAAGTACAGTTCTGACTAAATAAGTAGGCAACAGCATAAACAAGGAATTCTGAATGAATTTTTAGGAACAAAAATGTTGACAAAACATCATAGCCAGAAATGTTTTTTTAGAGAAGAACCGTTTATTTTCCAGACTATCCAGCACAAGCTGGCTGAGATGAAGACAGAGATATGTGTAGGAAGATCCTTCATGGATCAGTGCCTGGAAATCCACCAGAACAGAGGCTGTGATAGCTTCTCTGCCTCCATGGCCAAATACTGGTTGGTTCAACTCTCTCTTTTCTTTCTTCTCTCTCTCTTCCCTCACCTCTCTCTCTCTCTCTCTCTCTCAAAATAGTTATGTTTCAAAGGTAATTCATTATGTTTTCTACATCTCCAAGTTAATCATTTATGGAATTATGAACAAAGTGTAAAATATCTAAAACAAATATTAACCCATTCATGCAGCAGACTAAAAATCAGTTCAACAGTCCTGAGTTCCCCCCCGTGTCTGATATTTCAGGCTAACAGACCTGCAGTGTTCTGTGGCTGACAGGTGTGTGCAGATGCACGGAGGCTGGGGCTACATGTGGGAGTATCCAATCGCACGTGCCTTCGTCGACTCCCGTGTGCAACCCATCTACGGCGGCACCAATGAAATAATGAAGGAGCTTATCGCCAGGTCTATCGTATCAGATATTTAAGTGATCCAGAAGGACTTGATGCAGTTCTGAATTCAAAAGAGAAAGAAACGGTTGTAAGATATTGTTAAGGCAGTACTGTGACTGATGCATAATGACGTGGATTCAGAGGGACTGTATACAGTAAAATAAATAAACAAAAAAAAAAAAGACAAAGTTAGAGTATGCCAGTTTTCTATGAGTAACAATTCTTCTGATGTATATATCATTTCGTAATTCATGCCAAAGTAGGAAAGTTAAGAAAGAAAAAGATATGATAAAAGCATTCATGCCTAAAAGCAATAGTCAGCTACTGATGTGATGAATGAAGACTACATCCCATGCGTGATTCATATTTCAGCAAAATGAGTAGAAAGGATTTCACAAAAGCAGTATTAAATGGTCAAAAAAGAATAATAAATTAAATTAAATAAATTAAAGACACTATACCTCGGCAATCAAAAATTTAATGACAAAGAATTAGCATTGGTACACGTTAGTAGTTGATCGATATTGTTATTTTGATTAAGAGATAAACACCTTACCTGAAAGCAAGGCAGATATAATAGATGTACAAAGTAAAATAGAGATTTAGATTACTAAACACTCGTATATTTCTCAGGCTAAGTCTGTACACACTTTTGAGCAGTGAAAATTTTTGCACGGATTCCACAAGTGATGTCATTACGTAGCCAGCCTCAGGTAGAGCATAGCTAGGGCATTATGGAGCAAGTGTAGAGAAACCTTGATCTCTTTGTACCAGTTTTAATACTGTCTCAAAGAACTGTGATATCTGCACATTGGTCTTGAAGCCTACCTTGAGGCTTTGTAACAACTTAACACTACTACACAGACTAACTACCATAGGTAATCATCATTGAATGTAAGATTATTGTATTATATGCTTTATCCAAATGTCTCTTTTTCCATGTTTGCTCTGTATGAAATAAATTAATATAAAGCAACACCATTGATTATTTACTTTTGGACCAAATTACCAATATAGTTTTGTTATAGACCTGTCTCTGTTAGATTTGTGGGTCTGAGATGACGGCTTATTGTCCAGACCCCCCTTACTAAGGTCTATCATTGATTTTATTACCAATTTTGTCATTGATGATGTGTAACTTTGAAAGCGCAATGTGGAGCAGTTTGAGAATATTTGGGTTTATTTTAAACGCCTATTTTAACATTATTTAATATCACATTTCATTCTAACATAGCTTTTTATATGCACTATATATATTATACATACTGAAGTGAGATCAACGAACCATTTATTATTAAACCCCTTTATTTATCGTGAAGCTATCTACACGATGATAATCTAAATATTGGAAAGCGCCGACATATAGTGCCATTGTGCTGTTGGAGTTTGTTTCTCAACAAACGCACTGCTGCTGTGCAGTATCCCCCTGCTAACACAGTCACAGACATACATCACAAAACGAACGTTGATCGGAATAACTTTAACTCATTGCTTAAACATTTTCGAAAAGTGTGCGCGCGGTTGTGTACGAGTGCGTGCACATGCAGGATTTGTGTGGGTGCAAATGCCCGAGGCTATTTGTGCCTGTGCGTGCATGTTTGCGCGTTTGGATGTCGGCTCTGTATGATATTAATAGATTGTCCTTGCATTTGCTGCATAGTTTGGTGGTATGTCAATGGGTGAAACTGTTGTGGATTTTTTTCATGCTAATAAAATTTATCTTATCCAACTCATCTGCGGCACTTCGTGTCCAACGTTAGAACGAAAGCTTGCTCAATTATCCGAGAAGGGAGAGAATAACATTTCCTAGTAAAGCCAACAAATCTTTGAAAATTTACTCTCAAGAGGAGGTTTTCAACTGTAATCGTTTGAAATCAATTTGATAAAGCAGAATTAAGTGGGAAGACGAAGTGGTTTTCATGGTTCATTACAGTCTTCATACAACAAACAAAAATATCAAGTGTACAATAGTGCTGTTTCCCATTTTTTGCTCTGTATGATGATGCTAATGGCTTGTCCTTTAATATGGTGAACGGTTTCTGTAGATGAAAGTGCATTGGATTTAAATGGCCAAAACATTTTCTGTAAGCGACCAGTATTAGAGAGAACGTCACCGTTTCATGATTTTCAGTTTGAACTTATTCCTCTCATCTGCAGCATATCACTGCACGTAGCGAATGTTTTTTAAAATCGGGCCATGGAATTGCCGTTTAAGGGGGGGGGGGGTCGATAGGTTATGATATTTCCTTATCCGCTCTCTTTAAACTCCGGCACATGCGGCTTGCAGTTTAAATGTGCTGCTCACATCATGTGTTTTTGCTATCGGAACATGTAATCGCATTTTAAGTAATTACCTCTTCGATCTCAGCCATAAATCCACAGTTCCAAGTTACAAACGGCGAAATCATAAGGCTTTATTTTGAAAGTTAGAGCGGACGCTCACTCAATTATCCTGAAAGTGGTGAGAAAAGCATTTCAAACAAAAGCGAATATTCTTTGAAAATTGGCTCCCTAGAGGAGGCCTTTAACTTAAATCCTTTGAAATCGATTTTGCTTAGTGAAATTAAGATGGTGAGTAACTCTCAAGTTTGAAGACAAAGAGTCTTCATACTACAAAATAAAATACTAAGTTTACAAAATTGCTGGTACATACCTTTGGTCATTATTATTTTGTTCAAACATAAATGCAAGCATTTCTAATCTACTCTGGACAGTAAATTCAAAGCGTTAGGGACTGGAAATTCACATCACAAATTACTTGCTTTACATTTGTCTCTTAAAGTTCTTAATGTTTACAGCAACAATGTTAATGATCTGCAAAAAAATATTTGACTAAAGTACTGTTGTCTGTATCAGTGTTGCTATAAGGGGGGGGGGGGTTAGGACTGGGGAAGGGAGGGGGGTGGCTGGCAGGATTCACCACGACGGACCCAAACTATAAACGTCCAAAGCAAGTATGCGTTGGTGAAATGTTCCTACGATTAACAACGAAATTCTCAACAAAAAAAAAAAAAAAAAAAAAAACAAAAACAAAAAACATTTGAAGACACAAACGTGCAGTAGCCATAAAACCATTAAACTAGTAGACCTCATAACTTGGCAATTCGGAAACCATCAGTTATAAATTGATCACTGAAAGTTTATGAAGTGTATGTCCTTTAATCTTAGCCAACGGATATGACTTTTTAGGTCACACCAAGCCACAACGGCAAGTGTCTGATAGAGCTGTCCTTTGGTGAGAATCTGGAATTAGTGTCTCTGATGCTTGATTGTCCTCCCAAAGGTTCCTTATTCCGTCTTGACAGCGTGATTACCATATATTATCTTCAGATAAACTTTGATCTGATAGAGATATATTAAAAACAATGGCACAACAAAGACACAAGGGTTATACGATGGATGATCTGTTACGAGTGTCTCATAAATTGATCTAGAAATTCTAGCAGAAAGGATGGGGTGGAGTTCAAATGGGGGGGGGGGGGGGGGGGGGGG